TCTATATAACTAACAGTTTTAAAATATCACTGGCTATTTGTATCGTCAGGATGTAAGTTCTCTATGGCTGCTAACAACATTAGATCTATATTCAAGGTAGATAACAGATAAACTTGTTATCTCTAAAATCAGATCTATATTCAAGGTAGATAACATATAAACTTGTTATCTCTAAAACCAGATCTATATTCAAGGTAGATAACAGATAAACTTGTTATCTCTAAAATCAGATCTATATTCAAGGTAGATAACAGATAAACTTATTATCTCTAAAATCAGATCTATATTCAAGGTAGATAACAGATAAACTTGTTATCTCTAAAATCAGATCTATATTCAAGGTAGATAACAGATAAACTTGTTATCTCTAAAATCAGATCTATATTCAAGGTAGATAACAGATAAACTTGTTATCTCTAAAATCAGATCTATATTCAAGGTAGATAACAGATAAACTTCTTATCTCTAAAATCAGATCTATATTCAAGGTAGATAACAGATAAACTTCTTATCTCTAAAATCAGATCTATATTCCAGGTAGATAACAGATAAACTTGTTATCTCTAAATTAAGATCTATATTCAAGGTAGGTAACAGATAAACTTGTTATCTCTAATATCAGATCTATATTCAAGATAGGTTACAGATAAACTTGTTATCTCTAAAATCAGATCTATATTCAAGATAGGTTACAGATAAACTTGTTATCTCTAAAATCAAATCTATATTCAAGGTAGGTAACAGATAAACTTGTTATCTCTAATATCAGATCTATATTCAAGGTAAGTAACAGATAAACTTGTTATCTCTAAAATCAAACCTATATTCAAGGTAGGTAACAGATAAAATTGTTATTTCTAAAATCAGATCTATATTCAAGGTAGATAACAGATAAACTTGTTATCTCTAAAATCAGATCTATATTCAAGGTAGATAACAGATAAACTTATTATCACTAAAATCAGATCTATATTCATGGTAGATAACATATAAACTTGTTATCTCTAAAATCAGATCTATATTCAAGGTAGATAACAGATAAACTTGTTATCTCTAAAATCAGATCTATATTCAAGGTAGATAACAGATAAACG